CAAGATTAGGGAGGACTTTATTGCACAGTGTATAGAATTGTCTAGTGTACTTGTATAAATTTGAAATATATTCATACTGAAATATTTAGATGATAAGATCAACTTTGGTTGATTATAGGATTTCATTTACCTAATTGATAGAACTAAAATGTATTTTTCTAATTATAAAAAAATTTTTTTATACGATTTATAGCATATGTATACATATGTATGCATATACCTATATTACTTCTTGGTAAAATTTATTTATAATCATGTCAAATCAGAAACAAGAATCTTCTTTAAATAAAATTAATATTTCTTGTAATTAAGGTAATTAAATTTTATAAGATACATGTAAAACAAGAAATGAAAAGATTAAAAAAGATACTAAATTAATAATGTATGAACTATGTTTGGAAACGGTATAGCTAATGTCACGAATTTACCGTTGTGGGATTCGCCACTAGAGGTCCACGGGACTTACTCGGTTCGCGTAAGCACCGCGCCGCGCGAATTCCCTTTAAAATAGAATATCATTCTGTATTCATTCCAGGTGTCTAAGGCAAGTCTCACACTACATCGCCTTACTGATGAGTCTAGTAGTGTGGGACCAGGACAAAACGATGCGGCCGACCACAAAGCTTCGAGTCAGGCCTCCTTAGTGGACATTTCCACACCGTTATATCAGTAGAAAGTTTATGATTGATCACAATAATGAGATAGAACCATATTGCAACAATTTAATTAAACCTATCGTAACAATAAGTAATTGACGTTATTAAGAAATAATTTGATACTGTAGCAGTGTTGTGTGAATATAGACCATGCAAACGTTCAAAGAAATAAAGTATTTATTTTTATTTAAGGGATTAATTGACCAACAATTTAAGTCTTTTATACCTTTAAAAATATATCATAACTTTTTACATTAAAGATATACGAGTGACGAATTCTTTGCAATTAGGATAACTTAGATACCGGTAGTGTACATCTGTATGGAAACATATTATTCGTTATAACATTACTCTGAAAAACTAACACTATATTTATAAAGATATGTCAAATTCCACATTGATTGCACTGCCTAAACTCATTTTTGAAAAGAGAATGGGAACAGACAGACTTTATCGTCGCTAACGCTGATCCCTTACAAGTAAACCTTAAGAAATGTCAGACGCCGATTTTTCTCAAAATTTTTACAGTTGTTTCTTATGACAAAATAACAAGAAATCTGTCATTAATTTTAGCCCAAATTGCGTGTCTGTTAAAAAAAATTTTTTGTTATTCTTTACAATTACTCGATTTTTATATGGTTAAAGCAATATTTCTGACGAATGAATTTGTACCCGATTTTTTGAAGCTCGATACGCATATAGAACACCAAAATAATAACAATAATTATATTCTTGAGGCTTTCACGGGTGTTTCCTATATGACAATCTTGTGTTTCGCGGGTTTTCTCCGTGTTCAAATCCATTCTTGGAATGCCAACGTTTCGTGAACCTTGCAGTC